GAAAGGTTTGCTTTCCACATTAACAGGAAGATAGCTACCTAATACCCCGAGGAAAAATCTTGTGGCATGTTGCAAAGTGCACGCATCGTATTGCTTGCCACATCCAACAGCTGCAAATACTCATCCGCTCCATCTATAAGACACTGCGAACGCCACAGATGCGTGAATAATAAAGTGTTACTGTCTCTTAAAATTCTGAACAAGGCAAGAAAAGGACAATATGACTTGGGAATTTTCCATAGTTAAGAACAAAAATTCTAGAGCCATTTCTCAGCTCATCCTGTCCAGGACCTATTTTAAATAATGCTGCTGTATTAGATGATAATTGGAAATACCTGAAAGCTAGCTAGTTTACATATTAAGTCCAAAACTCAGACTCCAGAAACACAACGGAACATCCAATTACTTGATAAAGAGCGTATACATTTCTCAAATCTTGACTCACCGTATGGCATAAAAATAAAAATAAATAAATAAATAAAACCCAGAAAGTAACAGACAAAGGTGCAAAGTGCTTGCACTAAGTGAAACTATTTGAGAATAGCTACCTTATCTGCTTCAGCAAATTTCTTGCATATTCTTGCTTTCTGCTCATCTGATATATTATCCGCCTCAACAACCACGTCATACAACTGGAAAACAAAAAAATAAAATAAAATAAAATAATAAAAAAGCACCTAAATTAGCATTTAGCACTAAACATAATTAACAAACTGGTAATAATGCAGAAACAATGAGACCTGAGAAAGCATCTGAGAAACTGGATATCCTTCGGCTATCAAATTACTCACTTCCTTGTTTGCCAAGTCAAAATTACCACTTTTACAAGCTAAAAAGAGAGCCTGGACAACCTCTCCCGGGATAACCTGAAAAATAGGCATGCTGCAAAAGTCAGCATATCGCTCTGGAAGAAAATTCAATTTTAAAGAAAATAAGTCGACCAATAATAATTGCTACAATTTGCTAGAAAAGTTCTTCACATTTCATAAGATCTTATTCAGCATCTGGAGATAAACAGGATAATGGTTTATCTCAATAAAGTAAATAATAAAATCACATCCTAAAATTTCCTAAACGAACATTTATATGTCAGAAACTCAAAGAGGAATTCGTTAAAAGAAGTTAAAGGGAGTTCAAAATTTTCCTTTTATTCCATAAAATCTTTGAATATTTTCAGGCGGATCCTTCATTCATTAAATTTGCACTCCTGAATTCGAGTTAGAATCTTCTGAATACAAGAAGTTATACTTAATATCATCAGTGGAAATGAATCTAAATCATTCATGTACCAAAAATTGCAGATAGTAGATATTCAAGAGAAACTTGAGCACCCACAATTTTGCATTCTTTTCTTCTAGAAAAAGCCAATCATATTTATAAAAAGTGAGATAGTGTTACAAATATTCAAAGCTTCATAAGAGGCAAAAAGCAGCTCCATAATGCAAATACCCCTAGGTTAGAATTTTCATGAAACTGCTAAAATGGCACGTGAAATTAGTAGCAGCTTAGGTAGCTACAAGAACAAAATGGAATGCATAAGAAAGTCATATGTTGCAGAAGGAAAACTCAAAGATCTGAACGATGAAGATACAATACTGATAGAAATAAAGTATAATTAGGACGTTAAAATAGAGTTTTATTCAAAGTATTTTCATTTT